ATTTTTAATAATCACACAATTTAGATTATAACACATCGATAATACTAGCATAAACCACATTAAAATAACAAAGATTATATTCGAACTTTTGTATAAAAAAGGTTAGGCGTCATGTACTTTGTTTTGCAAACAAAAGTCTAAATTTTAAGGCTAATTAGTATACACTTGAGTAAAATCAATCATATGAGTACTAATGGGTTAGACCCTTTTAATCTCTATACATGCATGACATTACCAAATTACATGACTACGACGAATTTTGTCTTGGGAATTAAAACAGATTTTTGCGAATTTTGTTGTTCTGGTAATCTATTTACCTTAAAAAGAAAAAGTCAACCGAGGAGTAGGAGTTTTCTAACAGATGAAAAGAAAATGTCAAACAATGTAAAAATATTTTTTAAAGAGATTTTTTTGACAGTGGACTGTTAGTTGGTGAGCTTTTTCTTTTCAGTTGGGGTCGGGATCTGTGTAACTGTCTCACATCCCAAAATGTTTACATTTATATTTATGTTTCTTCTTCCTTTATGCCTTTGGCTTTTCTTCTTTTAAACAATACTGTTATTGATCTGATTCGTTCTTTTTTTTTGTTGTTTTTGTTTACATTTCATTTTTTTAGACAAAGGACCAGTACTGAAGATACTCATCTTTTGGCTTTGATCATCTGAACCTAAAATTTAATGAACCTAATTGTTTGTTGCCACTTTTAATATAATAACACAAGCTCGTAACAATGTCGATCTTCCTAAAAAATGGTATTTATGGTTAAACTCTGAGAAAGTGGGAAACTAACGTTTTTTTTTTGTTTCTTTCAGGTAGCTGAGTCTCTCTATTTGTATTTGTATTTTACAAATTACAATGAACAAAGTTTATACTACAATTTTAGCAAAAAAAAAGTTTATACTACAGTTCAAATGAAATATTATCTCCTTTGTTTCACCAATTACTCGTAACTTCTAAACTACAACTACTTGGACTATCGAGTGACATTTGTATACAAGAGAAAACAAGCTTAGGCCAGTAAACTATAGTCCTTTTTTTTACAAAAAAAAAAAATAATACTAATTTCACACTGACATATACAGTACTTGTTATGGTAATTAGGGTCTACTTGCACGTTTAAAGAGGGATATACTTGCATTTTCCGTTTTATCAGAAGATTCAGGATAAAAGTATGCTTGTACTCGTGACAAAAAGCATGCATTAACTATAATATAAGTAGGATTAAAATCATCCCTCGCGAGTAACACTCGTGAGGCCATAGAATTCGACCTTAATTGGTGTTTTGATTCAAAATGAGCATATTAACCGTTCTAGGTCATTCCACTGGTTTAGATATCGCCTCAAATACAACTTGACCCAACAAGATATAATTAAGTAATGTCTCTATATAATTGTCAACATATTGAGATACATATCTCTCATTACATTTTTCCTTTTCAATGTATATAATTAATTTGTTCATAATTTTCAATAATCCTCTTCTTGTAAATTGTAATATAAGGTTCATGTATCCTAGTTTACCCTACTATACAAGTTGTAAGCTATCGAACACAAAGAATAAACTAAAACCTTTTCACTTGTGTGTTTCTCTTGACATGATATCGGCGCTT